TAGAGCATCCATAGTGTAGAAACAAGATAGAAAAAAACAAGTAGAATAGACAGGGGGAACCTTGTGTACACTTACTATTGAGTCTTATAAAGTATTTGTCTGGCAGATATTTTAGAAATAATCAATAATCATTTTGTACAGAATGAAGAATGCAAAAATTGGACACATACTCTCTTTTTTCATTCTTTCTAATTCATGATAAAGTTATAATTGAAAATGTCTGGCTGTGTTTAACCCAATACCTCTGAGAGAATTTGGATTTTGCTCTGGGGAGGATGTGGGTCTGATTGAGTCTGCCTCGTTTTCTTTTTCTCTTTCTCTCTTTCTTTCTTTCTTTTTGACTTGTATGCAAAATATAATTTTAATGATTTTACATATGCAGAGATGCATGACATTTATTTTAGTTGGTTGACTGAACCTCTATTAACCTGATTATATACATTACAATATATATTGTGTGTTACACTCTGTGTACAATGTGTTTTAAAATGTGGTTATATAAAAGGAGAAGAGGATTTTCTCTCGTTTTTGCAAGTCTTAATTTTCATTAGATAAGAGATTGTATGCAGTTATATATATGGCTAGTACTCCTATTGCTTCAGTACTTCCCTTTTGTGTGTCATACTTCAAAACACTAATACTTGCAGAGTGCTAAAAGACGATGTGAGTAGTTGACACGAGGAGAATGATTATGTGAACTAGAGTGAAGACTGCTTACAGGTTCACAGCAGCAGCAAAAGAGTGCAATTTTTTGGTGTGTGAAATCTTCCAGGCATAGCAAGGGAATAATTCATGGGCTAAATAGTGCCCTTTATAGAAAACAGTAGCTAGTGATAGCATTATAGATCCTGCTCCATCAGGCAGTTCCCCAGGGCATGTGGGCAAGAGGGTATCTTATAAAGAACAGCATAAAATATAATGCATGCATCATCATAACATGACATGAATGATCTGGCACGTGGAGTCATGCCTAAGTCAGCCATGACAAGAATGACCATCACCAGGAGCCGCACCCAAGTCAGGTATGAGATGATTCCCATGTCATCAGGAGGCTAATACTTGACCCCAGCCAAAAGATGTGGTCACATTGGCATCAAATATCTGCAAACATTGTCAGTACCAGGGACATGGAATCATTGAGATGCTTTGAGGTGAGCAATGAGGACTACCTTTCTGATCAAGTGACAAAAAAAAGCAGTTATGAAATACAGTAAGGTGAATAATACTGCTGTATTGAGACATCACTTACTGCGTTTTGAAAGAACTTGCTGCTCTAGCGCACTGTTGAGTGGTAATGTTGATTTACCTCCAAGACTCATTAGTGGAAACCACACCATTGATGTGTTGAGTTGTCACCAGGTAATAAGATGGAAATTATTAAAAGGAATAAAGGCAGCAAATGCTCAGCTGATATTGGACAATTAAATATTATATCCTGGTTGAAAATGAAGATGAGATAGCCTGACCTTCACTCCCAATTCCTCTGCCCAGGCACTCGTAGGAGGACCCAATGGAGAGTAGAGGGAGGTATTACGATAAAGGGCAGGAATGATTGTCTGTGGCCTTGGCTGGACGATGGATGCCACGCTACCCTCACTGAGCTATTGTAGCTATATCTTAAATTACTATAACGTAGTTGCACTTTTCTTGTTACCCAATACCATTTCATGTTTTTGTTGTCATTTTTATAGTTATTACTATTAGTATTGTTAATAATATTATAATAATTAGATTGCCATTAATGACAATAGCATTAATAACAGTATTAGTAATGTTAGAGAAATAGTAACCAAAATTTCAAGGGATGGGGAAAATAATTGAGGTCAAGTAGTACTAGTGATTAACTTCGTGGCTAGGCACCTGTGAAGCTATGTATGTGTAAATAAAAATGACAAAACAAACTGCATTGGGTAATGGATGTACCTGGTGCCAGTAGTTTGATTAACCCTTTGTGTTGGGATGGCATGATTCTCTTACCATATCCATTGTGATCTCAGTTTACTGGTTGTGTTTACACATAGATGGCTCTGCAAGTACTTAGTCACCACGGAGTTAATTATATACTAGTTAGAATTTATCTTGCTTGTTAACCCTTTTTCTTGATGTTCAGAAAGATGATTTTTTATAAATTATTGCTTTTGGTATTTTAATAATATTATATTAATCATAATGTCAGTAATGATAAAAAGTATTAATAATGATAGCATTAGAAAAAACAAACAAACTCCATGGTGGTGAGCACTTTTGGAGCCATCTGTGTGCAACAAAATTTACAAAAAAATATAATGGGCAGCACATATACCTACATACAAAGGGTTAAATGCATTATTGTTATAATTATTGTTGTTGTTGGTTTTGTTACTGTTATTATTATTATTATTATTATTATTCAAGTAGTATATAATTATTTTTTTTCTATTTATTGACAGGAGGAAAATTTTAAAACACCTTGGTAGCGACCTTGAAGATGAGTTAAATTTCTGTCGTCAAATGATTGAGTTAAATCCAAAAAATTATCAAGTATGGTGAGTTCTTATAAAAGACTGTATGTATGTATGCTGAAGTAAATAATAACATCTCAATAAGTATCATACTATATAAACAGACAGAATTAATTGTAACTATTTTTAACGAGTATCACCATTACATTCCAGGCACCACCGACGTGTGATTGTTGAGTGGTTAGGTGATGCTAGTAAAGAACTTAGGCTTACGGAGATAATCTTCAGCCAAGATGCCAAGAACTATCATGCTTGGGAACACCGCCAATGGGTTTTGCGTACTTTTAAGTGAGTGTTGCAATGCCACTGCTGCATTTGTGCTATGGTCTTTTGCATTAAAAGAAAATAAAAATAATAAATACATAGATATATATTTTTAAATCTTATTTGTTATTTATTTATATATTTATTATTAATATTTATTATTATTTGCATTTGTGCTATGGTCTTTTGCATCACATTTGTAAAAAAAAAATAAATAAATAAATAAATACATATATATTTTTAAAAATTTATTTGTTATTTATTTATTTATTTATTTATTTATTTATTTTATTTATTTTATTTTATTATTATTATTATTATTATTATTTTTTATTTATTTATTTTTTCAATATTATTTTTCTGCAGGTTGTTTGATGGTGAATTAGATTACGTTGATAGACTGCTTGAAGAAGATGTAAGAAATAACTCGGCCTGGAACCAGCGACATTTTACGATCACCCAGACTACAGGATTCACTCCCGATGTTATTGAGCGGGAAGTGAAATATGCCAAGAAGGCTGTCAGCAAAGTTGTTGAAAATGAAAGTCCATGGAGCTACTTAAGAGGGTGAGTATTATGTGCAGTATCCTGAGAGTAATTAGTATACAGGTAAATGACTGTAAAATTCTCTCCTTTGTATTACACAAAAAATTGATTATAAGAAGTTGTTTGTTTTCTTTTTTAATTCAGGGTTCTCCAGCACTGTGATAGTGGTCTAGGCAGTGTGTGTGACCTGGAACAGTGGTGCCAACAAATGTACGAGTCTGGAGAGCGGTCACCTCATCTCCTCACCTTTATGTTAGACCTCATGGAAGACAAGATGGAGAGAGAAACATCAGAGAGAGAATCCACACTGAAGAAATCCCTAGATGTAAGAGTTAATATTTGCCTTCCTTTGCATGGTGCTGCCCCTCTTTGCAATTTTTCATCTGAAATTAAATTATTTTTTATCATTGATAGTATCATTATCATCAGTATTAGTATTATTGTTCTTGGGATTATTTTTATTAATATTGAATAGAACTTTTTTTTTACTTCTTGTTTTTAGATGTATTCTTTACTAAATTAGGTTACATTTTTTCAGTGCAATAAAGATGGTATTAACCATAACTATTGAAGCAGTAGCTATTTAACCCAATGGCACGTATAGCAAAAATATACACCACTGTAATATAAGTTCATTTATTGTATTTACAAATAGATGGCTCTACAACTGCTTATTCACCAAGGAGTCAGTTATTAATCCTACCTATCTCACTTGTTTACCCTTTTCCTTGACTTTTGGAAAGGTTCTTTGTATTATTTCATCGTCTTAAATTTTACCAAGATTTTAGCAACAATAATAATGTATTGATGATTTACCATCAGATGTGTGAGGCCCTTGCAGTGGAGCACGATCAGATTCGCCGTGAATACTGGAGATACATTGCCAGGAATTTGAGTCACCGCTTTGGAGCTTAAGTCTGCTAATGATGAAGCCCCCATATATTCCTTGGCATAATAGTGACACTTTTTCTGGATCTCAGTTTCTCGGATGCTTTCGTACTAATTCTCTTGTCAGCTTTATAGCAAACTTAGCTAGGCTCATTATTTACATCTAAATATTTTTTATTGATTTCTGTGGAGTTCTTTATTTTATAGGTAGAAAATAATAGATAATTACTCTAGAAAAATACTCTAGTTTGAGGTAGCTCCCGGCTTTTACGTTCTATGAAAGGTAGACATCTTTAGAATGACTGTTTCAGGTAAATTCTGGAATGACTGGGAAGAGATTCTTTATTTTAGTAATGTGTCTTTGTAGTATGCATGTTCAGATACACCGCTGTACACATACATATTAAAAATGCATACATATGTATGTACACATACATACATATTTTTACATGAATAAAATATGGTGGTGATATAAGTTGGCTACTTAGGTGTGCACATGTGTATAAGTTTATATGTATATAAATGTTTGGTTATTCTTTGATTGTATGCATGTATGTCTGTTTTTGTATGTTTTTGTTTGTAGAGATGTAGCTGTGCGCATGAAAACCTTTTACTTTATTGACATTTTTTCATTAAAAATTACACAAGTTTGCAAAAAATTATTCAGAACTTATGATATGTAATAAACCATATGTACGATCTATCTATCTGTGATCTATGTAATGTGTATGGTATAGCTTTATTTCTTTGATTTTTATTGGCTTGGTTATACAAAAAAAAAAGTGCAAGAAGGATAGTAAA